TCATTCCATCCTAGATTTCTGACACTAAGTAATCTCCTCTTGAAGTAAAATAAGCTAAAGCTCTGCTCTCAGGTTATTAAGATGTGGGGGTTCCATGATTCTGCCAATTTGTTCCTCCAATCTTTCTATCCTTCGCGATGGATCATTTTTTCGGCGCGTAATATGCCGAAAAACATTGTAGTTCTAGTCTTGTGCTTCTCGAGTAAAGTGTTTGACAGATTCTTTCAAAGAGGTTACCTTTAACCAAGCGGAGCTAAGCATAGGCATAAAGGAATCATGCATAAACCAAGCTGCCATGAATCAGAATGGCTTTGGCCCTGCAGGTTGAGTATACGGGTTTAGCTTAATCAGTAGGGGTCTATGGTCAGACTTCACCCGTGGCAAGTGCTTCACTAGTGTTTCAGGAAACTGTGCAGCCCATGGCTGGTTAATAAGACCTCGATCTAGTCGTTCCTTCATACCGCTCCGGAACTCTGGATGTATTGACCTTTTCATCCGGTTCAGCCTTGAAACCCCAAGCCCCTAGTGTATAACACCAAGTAAAGGATAAAGAGATCTTTTTGGATGGTAGAGGAAAATTCAAAGCGGGTCAGACAACTCAAAGCCATACCTTGAGTGTAGAAAATCAGCTGAATGACAAAACCCATAAACTGCAGCCACCTCGCCGGGAACCTATTGCACCAGACATTGAGATGGAAGTGCTAAGTCTTACAGACTCAAGTACAACTGCCAATGACCAGCTACTACTCACCAGAGAAAAAGAAACCAAAACACCGAATGACCAATTGATGCAAGACAGGGACCAAGCAGGGAGGACAACATCAACCACCTGTTAACTCTAAGGAAGTCTCTTTCCGCAAATTGCTATCCTTGTTTTTATGGATTTAAACATCTTTATTTGGAATTGTAGAGGGGCTAGTAGTAAACGGTTCCTGTGTGTGTTCAAAGAATATCACAGAAAGTATAATCCTAAGATAGTTGTTATCGTTGAACCTCACATTAGTGGGGACACGGCCCAAGAGGTCATCAATAAAATGGGATTTGATAAAAATGAATTTGTTTATGCAGTTGGATTCTCAGGGGGGATTTGGCTGCTCTGGGACTCAACTGTGGTTACGATCTCCAAGTTGATATCCCATACACAGTTTATTCATGTGCAAGTGCAAGCAAAAGGGCTCTATGATCAAGTATGGTTGTTCACTGCAGTTTATGGGACCCCTACTCCAATGCAACGAAAAGAGTTATGGGAGGCTATCCGGAACATTGCAGAAGAAAATGACACTCCTTGGTTACTAGCAGGGGATTTCAATTCAATCTTATGCGCGGATGACAAGGTAGGGGGCCCTTTTCACCTCTAACTGCACTCAGGACTTTCGAGACTGCATAAATGACGCTGGTCTCATGGACCTGGGCTTCTCAGCCCCCCCCCCCTACCTGGTTCCGGAACAACAAGTGACGTTGGTTGAGTGGAATGGGAGCTTAGAGTCATCCTTGGCAATGCAAGTTCGATTCCCGGCAGGTGCACTTAACTGTTGTCCGGGTTTTTGAGAAATACCGGGTTTGGAGCCGGGTTTGTCTCGGTTCTGCCCGGGTCAACTGTGTTTTCCCGGTTTTCAATAACTTAGCGGGCTGGGTGTTAACCGGACCGGATTTGGAGTCAGGTGGCCGGGTTCCAGGTCAACCCGTCCGGTCCGAGCCGGGTGTTAAACTATTTGTGTGTCTGATAAAGAAGTGAGGGGGTCGATGGGCTTATGGTTAGGTTGGTTTAGAGGGAGGTTAGCTTTGGATGATTACTTACGATTTGCAATTTTCCAGTTGTAATGTTACTACGAGTTGATTTAATATAGTATGTCGATTTTCCTTTCAAAAAAGGAGAATCTTTCGTGTAAATAACTAATCAGTTTTTCCAAAAAAATCAGGTTTAAGGTGTTTTTTTTCAACCCATTAAATTAAAGGCATTTTTCGAAGAGTATTACTAATTTTTTTTTGGAAGAAGTATTACTAAAAATCATGTTTAAGGCATTTTTCGAAGAGTTTCTGACATCTAGTACCCCTAGAGTTGTGCCTACGATTTCACAATGAGTTCTCATCTTCTTTCTCGTATCTTCCCCTCTCCCCTCTCTTGTTTCTTCTTCTTCTTCCACCCTCCCATCCTTCTTCGCTGTATGTTCTTTTTTTTTAGCATTCTTAAATTATCACCATCTTGATTGTTTAATATTGACACACATATATTTTGATATAAATAAATTCTTTTCACTCGTATGACTATATTTTTATGACTATATATTATACTACGTAACTTTTAATTAATATCACTATATTGATTGTTTACTATGGCACATCATTGATTGATACACACTGTCACACATCATCTAATTGACAATCATGAACTCTGCTCAGTCTGCTAATGCTTCTAATGGTACTGAATATGTTAATACTACGCTTATAAGATATTACCATATTATTAGATGATTGATTTTCTTGAAGACTTAGAATGTTTATGACTTTTGCTACTCCATCATTAGCATTTCTATCATTTTATTCATTTTGATGCATTTTAAAGATAATTTTAAGACTGCTATATTTCTATAATCTCGGGCACTTATGTTATTAAACCTAATTAATACAAGGCCGAGTAATCACCGAGTAATCCCGAGTAATTGGTCCTACTCACTACTCCCCCGAGTTACTACTGAGTAGCGAGTTAATTGGTCCGGCCTGTTCTGATTTGGTCTGGTCTGAATTGATGTGGCCTGGTGTGATTTCTTTGTATTTTTATAACTACCCAATTTTGATCTAATCCGGTCTTATCTGATCTGAAACTATTTGCAGTCCAAGTAAAAACATCCTTATACAACAACAATAAAAACTATTAATTTGATATAAAAAAAAATACAATAACATTTAAATCACACAATATTATAAATAAAGTTTCAAATCCAAACAACATAATAATAGAAAACAAATGGTACTTAAGAAAACAACATAATTAAAATTACAATTAATGACACCATTATAATCAAAATTAAAACATAATTAAAACATACATAGTACATACTAATTCAGAAAATAGTAATCATTCAACCCGCATCCAGAGCCTCCAAGCCCATCAAATAGATTCCCAAATCCAGCTGAGGATCCTCCTTCTAGAGATTTTTTTTTGTAAAATTCTTGATCTTTCTGCAATGATATACGCTCGCGTTTGTGGATCGTGAATAGAATTCAAATCCATGAACATAATTTTATCTTCTCTTTTCTGTTCTTTGTATGCCATATTTTGTCGCTGGATTTGCAATTGTTCCTGTCGATCTAACGATGATTTCTTCAACATCTCTACAAGTTGCTCATTGTCGCTCTTAATTGACTTAAGCAAATCAGTAGTGTCTTCATCATTTTTCTTCTTCAAATTTGCTTTTTTACCCCTATTGGTCGTTTCGAAAAATCTGGTTTTGCTTCATCTTGTGGTTTTAGCTTGTATTTGTGAAATATTGATTATTGTGTTTTAATTAGTGAAATGCGTGAAAATACATATTAAAATGATGTATTTTAGTTTGTATGTGTGAAATGTCAAAATATTAAATGAGGGGCTAATGTATAAATATAAGATAGTTAGATACTTAAATAGAATAATGGTAAAAAGTTAGTAAAAAGAATACTCCTTTTTGGTGATGAAAATGGTGTAAACTATTGGAGATAAAATATTGTTTGATGTGATGTTTACACCATTTTAGTGTAAAAAATGGAATTAACTGTTGGAGATGACCTCACACTGCAAGAGTCCACGTGATTAGGTAATACAAAAACACTATCTAAATAGAGCTAAACTGGAGAGAGTGCGTACTTGGAACTTGGAAGAATAGTCATTAGGAGTAGGGATGGACTCGGGCCGGGCGGCCCGGCCCGGCCCGGTTACTGTTTGAACCGGTCCGGGGGGCGGTTCGGGTCGGCCCAGCCCGGTTACTGTGCGGTTCGGGCCCAGGCCCTAGGATTAGCGAACCGGCCCGGCCGGTTCGGGCCCCGGTTCGGGCCAAATTTTTTTTTTTTTTTTTTTTGAATTTTTTTTAAGTTTTTGGGTTGGGCTAGGTATTTTGGGCCATTTGAGGTGGTTTGGGGTGGTTTGGGGGGTGAGGGGGAGGGTTGGGGGTTAATTAGGAAAAGTCAAAAAAAAAAATAGAACCGAGGCCCGGGCCGGCCCGGACCCGGGATTACCCGGGCCGGTTCCGGGCCTCCCATTCCTGAACCGAGGCCCGGCCGGGCCCAGGCCCGAACCGGGCCCGAACCGGAGCCGGTCCACCCATAATTAGGAGGAGGCTAACTTAATTCTCTGCTATGAAGTTCCGATTCCCGAATGCCAAATTCAACTAAATTAGTCTTCACTTGAAAAAGTCATTCATTCATTCAAAGTAGGAAATAATAACATTACTCCACTAATATTATATGCAGTAGTTATTAGCCAAAATAGCATGAACAAGTTAAAAAAAACAATACTTATATTAATAAAGGCTAAAGGGTCAAATAGGCCCTTGAACTAGTTTAAACTGTTTAATTAGCCCCTTATATAAGAGGTTCAGCCAGGCCATCGCTCGCCAATTGGGGAGGTTCCCGGTGGAATTTTTTTATGAAATTTTTTGAGAATCTTCTTCATTAAGTCTAATTTACCCATGTCAAATTTCAGCTAAAAATTAAATCGGGAAGGAGGTCAAATGATTTTCCGAAATGTGCCGCGCTGCTTAACTGCACAATTATCTTCAAAAAATCTCTGACTGCCTTCCCAGTTAGTTGAAATTTGATATGAGTAAACTAAACTTACTAAAGAAGATGCTCAAAATATTTCATCAAAAAATTCCACCGGGAACCTCCCCAATTGGCGATGCCCGGGCTGAACCTCTTATATAAGGGGCTAATTGAACACTTTAAGCTAGTTCAAGGACCTATTTGACGCTTTAGCCTATTAATAAATTATGCATTCATTCATTCAAAGTAGGTATAATAACAATGCTCCACTAATATCATGCGTAGTAGTTATTAACCAAAGTAACATTAACAACGAAACAATACTGATATTATACTGATATATTAACAACGAAACAATACTGATATTATACTGGTAACTTGATAGAGTTTGTGGCGAAACTACTGCCTACCCATAATTGGCTAAGCTATTCAGAAATGAAATTATTGATTGAATTGAAATGATACCAAATGCCAAACGCAACGCCTATACTGCCAAACACACAATCCAAAAATCATTCAATACCAAAATTCACAACCTTCATTTCAACATTTTTGGGAAATTCCAAAATCTTTGTATTAAATTCAGAGTCGAGATCGTATATGATAAACTTCACAAGTGTTGGAAAGGAAGAAAGTAGCCCCATGATCAAAGCCGGATAATTCTCACATGCATTAACGAAGTCAATACTCATAGTGTGAAGCAAGTTGTGTGCTTTAGCCACGCGATAAAGTTCCTTCGAATTCTCTGACTTTGTGCCTAAACAATTTCTCAGAGCTTTGACAAACTTTAAGAAGTGCAACAGAAAGAAAAAGAAGAAATCCCAAATGAGCCAAAGTTCTTAAGTAAATTAACAGGTGCATGACAATAATATTGAAAAACAATAGAATATTTCAAAGCGATTATTAGTCTAAGAAAAAATATTACCGCCAAATCCATTTTAAGTTCGCGCAACTTTGGACATAATTTCAACAAATGAATGAAGGCAGAAAAAACACCATCTTCATTTGAATCATTTGATAAACAGAGGCACTCCACATTTAGTTCATGTGGTTGAAGTTGTGGACCACTGCTTCGGAAGTCTTCAACAAATTTCTAAGAAACCAGCAAACAATGTTAGAGTACTTTCTGCTGGGCATTATAAATAAATGTGTAGTCCGGAATAGTTGAAAATAATTAGACTAACATACCTTTAGAGAAAGGACATCTAAAATAAGAGTACTAACAGATGCCATATCCAAGCGAAGTGGGAGAAAACTACGGCATTGGTCATCTGAAGAGTGAATATGTAACTTACAGAGTTTTGGTGCAGTAATGTTAAAACGGAACATGTTAGCACAATCGATAAACAACAAACTCTCGAGCATAGGAACATTAACTCTATATTCTAGCGCATCGTTAGGCTCAAATTCAACATTTTCAAAAGAAAGTGAAGTGGCATTTGGCAATATGCAAGGCATTTCTAATGGTTCAACAGAGACTCCATGGAGACGCAATGTCTTGAGCGTTGGACAAGAAAATATGCATTTTGGCAGTGAGTATTCATCCTTTCCTTCTCGGTCAAAACAAATGTCCATTACTTCAACTCCTTTTCGTGTGATCAAAAGGAGCCATTGATCAATGTCAAATGAGCGTGATGTCAGTGAAGTCCTCCCGTGATGAAAAAAAGAAAATTTAAATTTGCGAATATGGCCTTTATGCTCTGTGAGAACTTTGTTGACTACATACATGCCAGCAGAGGTCAGGGTATCACTACTTATCGTTTCCGTTTTTGTTTTTTTGGTCCTGAGAGCACTGTGAGCAGATGAGTATTTCTTCTTAATGTACTGGAAGAAGTTCCAATCAAAATTGAGATCCCTAAGATTGAGCCACATCTCTCTCCAGAGTTTAGATAAAATGGCCATTCTAGCAGCTTCTTGGATGGCCAATAATCTCAATATGTTGTCAAGTATTTCCGAAGGAAGTTCACTGAATCTATCCATCCTTCTCGTAGCCATCATCCAAACCGCAGCTTGAATATATGCAATTAAAGAACAAATATATTAAAACTAATCTACTAAGATACGCGAACCTGGAGATGGCGTTTAAATTAAAGTCTCAATTACATTTAAGATGTTAATAATGAAATGAACATATGGAGAAAGCAAAATCGAAACAAGCACGCATCAGAAATGCAGATTCAACTCGATTATATATAGATATGTGTATATGTGTGTTATCAGAAATGACAAATTAAAGAGCGAATTCACTCACATGGTACAACGCACGAAGCTATATCGTTGGCTTACAAAAGCTTAACCGCACCGGCAAACCAAGAAACATGACTTCGTAATTAAACAACTAGGGCGAATCGGAGAATAATTTGTTGAAGACGGTAGTCGTTTAAAACTTCTTGAAAGTTGAATTTACATATGCGCAATGAAATCAGTTTTAAGCCTTTAAGGTATTTATCAGACCATCAAATAAAACTTTTGGGGGGCATTGGGGTAATGTTGTCTTTGAACTGGACAATTTATTAGGTTTATTAGGTTAGAAAGATGTTGTACAAAACTAAGGGAGTGTTTGTAATTACTTCAATTTAAAAAAACTTTTAAATGATTTTAGAGAAAGTGATTAAAAGTATAAGTTAAGAGTGTTTGAAAAAAGAAGTGATTACGATGAAAAAATTTAAAGTTGGAGTGTTTGATAAAAAGGTAATTTTAAATGGTATATTTTGTTAAACTACAAAAATGCCCTTGAATATACAGATTAAAACATTTTGGAGCATCTCTCCGTTCCCCAACTTCAACGCATGTCTTTTGGCTTCAACGCATGTCGTTTGGCTTAACGCCCTCTCTCCGTGCCATTTAGAAGTGGAATTGCACGAACCAAACATTTTGGAGTATCTATCTTGCTGCCCTGCAATTGCTTTCTTCAATCGAAGTAAAAGATTAGAAAGCCATATGGGGTGCCATTTCTCCTCCGGCTTCCTACAATTGCTTCCACCATTGAATTTGGTTATTGCAATTTCTTCCTCTCTTGATCGAATTTGGTTGTTGAAATTCCTTCCTGTGTTGAAAGACATCACAGTGAGCATGATGAGTTCGATTTTGAAGCCATATATGGCGGTCTGCCCAAATGATCTCGAAGTCATCCTGTGGCGGCGGCCGGCGGTTGGTGGTCCTGTTCACGGTTGCCTCAGACAGCGCCATCCTCGTGTATTCCTTCCATTCTTGTGGCTTCTTGTCTAATCTAATCTAATCTAATAAAAGAATTATATATATATATATATATATATATATATATATATATATATACGGAAAAGATCCTGTCCAGCCGGAGGGACAGGATCCTCCGTCCGGCCGCCGCCGTTTGGGGCGGTTTCCGGTGGAGTTTTTTGATGAAATTTTTATGGAATGTTCCTCATCAAGTCTAGTTTATCCACAAAAAATTTCAGCTAAAAATTCGATCGGGAAGGCAGTCAAATAATTTTTTGAAACATAACTGCGTTTTATATGTTTAAGTTGGAGCAGTTATCTTCAAAAAATTATTTGACTGCCTTCCCGATCGAATTTTTAGCTGAAATTTTTTGTGGATAAACTAGACTTGATGAGGAACATTCTATAAAAATTTCATCAAAAAACTCCACCGGGAACCGCCCCAAACGGCGGCGGCCGGACGGAAGATCCTGTCCCTCCGACTGGACAGGATCATTCCTCTATATATATATATATATATATATATATATATATAGGGATGAGTTCTAAAAAGAACATTCCTTATCGTGGGAAGTGAGAACAAATCATGGCTTTTGATCTGGAGAAACGAACGGTTCATTAATGAGAAGGTGCATATTAAAATCATGCATCCACTACTAGAAAACTGGCTTATAGTGACACTTTTATAGTGACACTTTCATAAAATTAGTGTCACACACCAAAATTTAACGTAAAAGTGTCACTAACTCATGACACTCTGGTATCAACGAACACAGTGACACAAGAGCCGATTTTTTTTAATTTACTCCACAATTTTCACTTCACCGTTGTCTCTCCACATTTGGGCTCCACCACACAATAATACACTTCTTCCTTTTTATTTTTTTGGTCTAAGCCCATACGTACATAACACCATCTAGCTAACCGGCCTTCTCCTTCATTGACTTAGACAATGAAGCGTAAAACCCTAGCCTGCGTTTGAACTGATACACGAACACGGCCTCTGCGATTCTCTTCTCTGCGACCTGGTTCTCTGGCGTGGTTCTCTGCGTTTGTCTTCTCTTCTTGCTAGAAACACGAGATAACCTTTTGAGAGCATCGCAGGTGAAGGCGTGAAGCTTTTAAGTTCAACAAATGCCACTCGCGGCCCGGTCAGCGAACACAGTCCACAACTTCGAGCAGTTTGGTGATGAAATTCCTCAACTCATGGAAACTTTCAATCACTTCAGGTAATCCTTGCATTTGGCCTTGAACTAGCCATCCTCCTTGTTCGCCGCATACCACTTCTACTTCCTCTTCTTTTTCTTAAGCTTAAATTCTTAGAACGGAGTATACTTAAATAAATAGTCTTTCCCCCAAGTTATGAAATACTTATTAGTATATATTTATACTTGGAAAATATCCGACCCGTAGATCACCGTTCATTTGAGAAAAATAGTAATAGTCAATATTCTTGACCAAAAACCCCAACCCACCCATATACCTATGAGTGTATAGGACTCCTCCTTGTCCCTACTTGTATATCACAATCTATGAGTTTTAGGATCATAATCCTTGGATACTCCACCGGTTTGTGAGTGTTAAGGACTCATAAGTCCTAGGGTCCTCCACCAAGTTTTGAGTGTTAAGTACTTTTAAGTACTAGGGTCCTCCACCAAGTTTGAGTGTTAAGGACTTTTAAGTCCTAGGGTCCTCCACCAAGTTTTGAGTGTTAAGTACTTTTAAGTACTAGGGTCCTCCACCAAGTTTGAGTGTTAAGGACTTTAAGTCCTAGGGTCCTCCACCAAGTTTGAGTGTTAAGTACTTTTTAAGTACTAGGGTCCTCCACCAAATTTTGAGTGTTAAGTACTTTTTAAGTACTAGGGTCCTCCACCAAGTTTTCCTATGATCAACCCCCTATCAACCTAGATAGAGTCTATATCATCCTTAGTTACTCATAACTAATCCAATACATAAATCTTATGTATCACAATCCATGCAAAGCCATGCATTTATATAGGTTTATAATTAATTAATACCAACCGGTATTAATTAAATCCTTTGTTCTTCGGTCCACGTTTTCGTTGACCGCCATTTCAAGCCTTGTGTGTATCAACTTAATCATCATATAATTAAGTTAATAATATTCATTTGTGCTTCTAATACACTTCAACCAAATATGCATTTCATATAATTCTTCATATCATATTCCATGCATCAACAATTAATTTCTTCATACAAACTTAACCCTATTGGCTAATCACATGTTTAAATATCTTTTAAACATCATTATGAAATCATATAACATTTATTTAGGTAATCTCATAATTAACCCAAAAGTTATAAGATATTAAGCCGTCCACTCACCTTGAACTAGCGTTATGAAGTTCTACCCCTCTTGGTTGAACTCCGGTGGAACTCCGGCGACTTTTGGTCAACTCCGGCGACAACTCCGGTGACTTTTCCACTTTGTGAAATCACTTGAAATACCTTTCACAAGTTCCTAACAAGGTTTTATAATCATAAAACCCATATTAATACCAATAACCTCAAAAAGGTTATTTTCCGGTGAACCGGTCGTTTTGGCTTCTAAGCCCGTTCTTGGACATAGAATCACTTTCCAACCCATTAATCCATACTTATAACATGTAGAACACTCTTAAGGGTTCTTCACATGATATGTATCTCATATGGTGGAAGAAAAATAAAGAAAAGTTATAATAAGGTCATTACCTTAATTATTTCACACTTTTAGCACTTTAGCTCCTTTTTGGGTGATTCCTCTTTGATGAGCTTTCTTCAACAATGGAGGAAGGAGGTTGGGTGGATTTTCTTGCTCTCCCTGGTGCTCTTTGGCCGAAAATGAGGGAGGGGAAAGGGTGAGGTATACTCATTTGTCTCATAGAGCCAATGAGTGTGGATGGGGCCACCTCCTCTTTGTTTGATGCTAAAAGGATCACATCACCATCCCCCCCATGTTTCTCCTCTCTATGCCAACCGACCCAGCCCTCAATTTGAGTGGCAAAAATCGTGGGTTGGCCCCCACTCATGTGGGAGGTCAACCCTTTTTGTCCCGAAGTGTACAATTTGTCCCGAAAGTTGTATTTTTCGGACTGCTTTAAATATATTTTATTTTATCGGTTCAAATAAAATATATTATGTGCTCTTACTCATTATGACATGTATAATGAATGTACATTCCCCAACTTTAATTTATAAGTCTCCGAAATTCAGTTCGGACCGTTATCTGTTAAATTACCGGTATCGGTAATTTAGGCTTCTTTTGACCGATCGGTCAACTTTGGTCCTTTCCATGGCTCAAATGAAATATCCGCCACTATATATTTATTATCTAGACCAAGATGAATAAAATATATAGTCTCGGGAATGTCGGACGGCCCCCGCTCCCGGTGTGGGCCCCACGTGCAATTTACTATTCACGCGAAAGAAATAATAGAAATTTTACAACTTCGTAAATTCATTAATCCCTTAATAAGGTTCAATACATTATTTACGTAAAAGTAAATATATTTGGGGGCGGTGTTACATACATACATACATACATACATACATACATACATACATACATACATACATACATACATACATACATACATACATACATACATATATATATATATATATATATATATATATATATATATATATATATATATATATATATTTTTTGGTTCAAATGAGAACATCCCTTAATGTGAGAAGTGAGAACAAATCCTCACCCTCCATAATACATGTTGATCTGCGATAGATTAAATGGGCCTAGAGGGCATTTTCGTATTATTCTTTAGCCAACCGTTCTTGCAATTAATGCATTCCATATATGTTCCACGTTCCACATTTTTAGGAAGGAACCATAATAAGGTGCATATTATATTAATTTTTAATTTCATTGCTTCCGTGAATTTAGTTTTCCATGTTTTTTTTAGCAAAGTTGTCCATGCTTAGAAACAAAATATTTTTATTTTATAATTAAATTTCTCCATTAAATTATAATTTATTTTCTATTCATTTAATTTGCATCAAATACCAATTGTAGTGAATTACATCATAGCTAATAGCAAGATGGTCAGTTCATGTGCTATAAATATAGGTTGTTGTTTGTGAAATACTGATTCTTGTGCGATAAATACTTACTATGATTGTATATATAATATTCGTTAGGTACTGGTTCTTGAGTGTATATTCGTATTGTGCATAAGATATCGATTCTTGTGTGTTATATACACTACTAGAAAACTGGCTTATAGTGACACTTTTATAGTGACACTTTCATAAAATTAGTGTCACACACCAAAATTTAACGTAAAAGTGTCACTAACTCATGACACTCTGGTATCAACGAACACAGTGACACAAGAGCCGATTTTTTTTAATTTACTCCACAATTTTCACTTCACCGTTGTCTCTCCACATTTGGGCTCCACCACACAATAATACACTTCTTCCTTTTTATTTTTTTGGTCTAAGCCCATACGTACATAACACCATCTAGCTAACCGGCCTTCTCCTTCATTGACTTAGACAATGAAGCGTAAAACCCTAGCCTGCGTTTGAACTGATACACGAACACGGCCTCTGCGATTCTCTTCTCTGCGACCTGGTTCTCTGGCGTGGTTCTCTGCGTTTGTCTTCTCTTCTTGCTAGAAACACGAGATAACCTTTTGAGAGCATCGCAGGTGAAGGCGCGAAGCTTTTAAGTTCAACAAATGCCACTCGCGGCCCGGTCAGCGAACACAGTCCACAACTTCGAGCAGTTTGGTGATGAAATTCCTCAACTCATGGAAACTTTCAATCACTTCAGGTAATCCTTGCATTTGGCCTTGAACTAGCCATCCTCCTTGTTCGCCGCATACCACTTCTACTTCCTCTTCTTTTTCTTAAGCTTAAATTCTTAGAACGGAGTATAATTTATTTATTTTTCTATTGTCCATCTATATTAGCTGTAGGTAAAGTGTTCAATGAAATGTTTGATAGAAAGTACATGCTCATTTTCTCAAAAACTGCACTTTAAGAATATAATAGTTATATCATTAATTCCAATAAGTTGAGTAGTA